CTCTCTCACACACACACAGTGAAAATACTGTGTGGGGAAACACTGCACTGCACAGCAAAGCGCATGTGGGGAAACAAAGGTGTGAAACAAACAACCTTCATACACAGCCTATCCTTTGTGCATGGCATATTATAATAAAGACACTAAATATGGATCTTAATGATCTGCTTTAGAAAAAGAATGAAAAGTTACACATAAAATGGCAGCGAGACAGATCTAGCAAGTGTCGTTAAAAAAATAAATTACATTGGAAAATTATGTTAATTTGTTTGTTTTGCAGTAATTAACCTAGAATTAACTGTAAACTCAACTCAGTTGGGTGGCTCAACTGGTGGAGCTGGCGCCCCATGTCCCAGAGCTGCAGTGCCCACGAGTGGCCCTCAAAAATATATATTGAAAACAAAAAAACTCAGTCCCTGAGATATAATACTGGATGTGCTGGATGTGGATTCTTGCAGGGGATGGTCTGGACGGAGGAATGGCCTCCCCCAGCACAGGAGAGGAGGACGATTCCGACAGAGACAGGAGGAACAACAAGAAGAGAGGGATCTTCCCCAAAGTGGCAACAAACATCATGAGAGCTTGGCTCTTCCAGCACCTGTCGGTGAGAGAACTTTTTCTTGCTCCTTTCACATCAAAGTTAAATTATTACACTTAAAAAAAAATACTAATATCAGACAATAATTAAATCCAAACTGCAGAACAAGACAAAGAAAGCTTGTGTATAGCGCTGTATGAGAGAATAATTACTGACAGCGAGGATTTAGCGTGAGGCAGAACGTCACCGACAAGAACAGAGAGGGGAACTGAGTGTATAATGGAGGTCAATTAAATTAAATGAAAGATTGGGGGATTAAGTGATTATGTGAATATGCTCGCTATTCAATAACTGTGGAAGTGATAGAAATGGAGTGAATAATTGTTGGTGAGGTAATTAGCTACTAAATGAGGCAGGTCAAATGTTGCTTCACTCCAATTATTACAGTATGTGTGTGTGTGTGTG